TGGTTTATTTGTCCATTCGATAACATTTGGGTTATTTTTACTTATTGGCTATTGCATTGCTTTAATGCTGCTATGAACATTTGTGTATAAGTTTTTGGGTGAACATAAGTTTCATTTTTCTTGGGTATATGTCTAGGAGTAGAATTTCTGGGTCACATGATAACTGTGGTAACTATTTGAGAAGCTTCTAGACTGGTTTTCAAGGTGACTGTACCATTTTACAATCCCTCCAACAGGAGTGAGGTTACCAATTGCTTCACACCCTCACCAACACTTGCTGTTATCGTTTTTCTTGACTATAGCCATCCTGGGGGGTGTGCAGTGGCACATCACTGTGGTTTTAATCCACATTTCCATCATGACAAAAGATGTTGAGCATCTTTTTGTGTGCTTAGTGGTTGGTCATTTATATATCTTCTTTGGAGTAATGTTCATTCACATTGTTTGTCCATTGAGTGTGTTTCCTTCACTTCCTTGATGTGTCCTTTGAAACACAGATGCTTTTAATTTTGATTGTGTTGTTACTCACACTTGATGTTACCAATGAAACATTTTTACTCTGGTGTGTTTGAAGTGGATCTATATGCATGTATTCTACTTGGAGTTTGTTGAGCTACATTAAGAATTTCTTAAAAATCAAACTTGGAATTCTTGTATTCCTATTGCACATACATTGATGTACTTAATAGTGACCCACATTTCTCTGTGGCTGTGTTCAATTTTCTTCAGTCTTTTTTCTCTTTGTTCTTTGGATTGCATTGTTTCTATCGATCTTCAAGTTTGCTAATTCCTTCTTCTGTCAGCTTAAATCTGTTGAGCCCTTCTGGTATATTTTTCATTTCAGTTGTACTTTGCAACTTCAGAATTTCCATTTGTTTTTTTTTAATTAAATTTTTTTTTACTAAATGTTTCCTGCATGGTTTGTCTCCTCAGTCACTGTCGAAAGGACTCTGAGAAGCTGTAGGAATATGCAGGTGCAGACCTAAGGCCCGGCTTTCTCTCCAACGTCGTGGAAAGGGACTGTACATCACAGGGCAGAACCCTATGCTCCCCTTTGCCACCTAGACAGAGCCCAGGGAGAGTGACCTCCCAGGGTATCCACGTTGGTTCCATTTGGTTCTCTTTTTTTAAAAAATAATATTAATCTTTTTACCAATACTTTCTGTTTATAGTCAGTCTGGGTCTTGATATCCGCCCTACCTCCCCATTCCTTGGAACTTGTTATTATAGTTGGCTTGTTTATTTCTTTAGTGTCTGGCTGGACTTATTTCAGTGATGTTGGTTTCCTCTGCATTATGGAAACTTTGTCGTTGGTCCTCAGATGTCACTCCCTCGAGCGTATACACAGTCACTCTGGGATGACAGTGGGTGTAGCAGGGCTCCTTACTGTTGCCTTGATCCTGTCCAGCTGTTAAGCTCAACTAGTCATTGGCTGATTGCTCTGTTGTGTTCAACAATACTCTGGAGTATAAATTACTAAGCCATCCTAAGCCAATCAAATCCCAGCTCCCTTGAAGGGATAGTATTTGGAGTCAATTGTTGTGGTTTGTTCTAATGCCAGAAGGCCTCTTAGCTGTCTTTTTCCTTGGTTCTCTCTGGCAAGCTAGGGGACCTTTGGTTTGGCTTGTATCTCTTTCAAATCCAGCTTCTGCTTAATTGCTTTCCACCAAAATTTGCTATTTTGAGTACTCTTAGGCTTTAACTTCTTTATACTGTTTCAAATAAATTCACCCATTTGGGACCTCTCTGTTTAACATTCTGATTCTCTCTCTAGGCAAAAATTACTGGGCAACAGCTCTGAGCTGGGAGTGGTAACAGGTATGCCACTCTGAGTGACACTCCTACTTTGGGAGCAGGCTTCTGGGTTGGGATGTAGCCTCTCTGGTCTTTTTGACATGCCTCTACTGGAACCTTTGCCCCACAAATTAGCTACGGTGAGTAATCAGGGGCCCACCATTAATGTGGCATGTCTAAGGTAGAGCTTCTACTCTAAGAGTGGAGGCTGGGTGAAAGAAGGTTGCTCCTCACCTCTTCTTCTCATTTGCTTGGAATTTAACTTTGGCAGCTCATGGCTGGGGTAGATGAGAAATTTTGGTGGCCTGCACCTCCAGAGAAGATACTGTTGCCCTTCTTGGCCAGAAGCTGAGGTAGAAAGGTTACCCTGTATTCTTGGCTTTACTCACTTGGACTGGAGTTTCTATCATACTGAGTTTGGAGGGGAGAAGGAAGGAGTGGGTAGTGGTTCAGATGCCACATTTGGTACAGAGTCTGTCTGTTCTCTTTGAGTTTCAGTAGATTTTTTTCAAAAATAAGTCTTCACTTGCCATATACCCTTAGGTCAATTTTCAGAGCTTTTAAATGGCTCATTTCTTAAAAATAATTATTATCAGTTAGTTTTGTTTCACAGAGGTCTCCTTATAATGCCATTTAAGTCTATTAACCAGAAAAAATTAGCAGATCATTTGCAGTAGTTACTAATCAGCTTTCTCTCTTGGTACTATCATTGGTAAGGAAATAGTATTAATAGCTATTGGTTACCTGAAAAATTGTGACTGGACCTACTGAATGGCTATTTGTCAGTCTGATAAACTGAATGTCTTATAGAAATAAAAAACAAGCTCAAGTAATTGCTGCTGTTATTCAGTTTTAATATTACTTAATGGACTTCATAATCACAGTGACAAAGTACAATAAAGTGAAGATAATGTTTAATCCACAGGGTAATTGGTGAGAAATAAAAATTGATTTTAAGTAAAGCATTTTTAGTTCCTGCCACATAGCAAATGTTTTGTAAATGTAAGCTATCATTATCTCTATCAAGTTTTTATCCAATTCCTAATACATAGCAAGCAATGCAAGCACTTACACAGCTCCTATACAGTATTTTTCAAATTGTTAAGCATTGCATTAGGAATTCTGCAAGACTTGACCCTAAAGGTTGGCTTATTAAATAAACGTAATACTGGAACAAGTAACTAGCAATATACATTTACATGATTCTAAGGAATTATATTTATTATAAGCAAAAAAGTGAGCAATATATGAGGTCTGTCCAGAAGGTACCCAACCATGTAATATAAAAAATAGAGACGTTCATTGAAGAAGATACAAGAAACTGTACATAGGACAATGAGGCTTCAGTCCCCTTCAAAGTAGGCACCTTGGGACCTCACACAGTCTCTGCATCTCATTACTTCTGCCCACTAATTTCCTGCAAAGTTAATACTTTGGCTTGGCCCATTCTGAAATCTGGGTCATGGCATCTTGTTGGCTTCAACTCCCTTTTATTGTTTTTGCTCTATTATCACTTACTTGAGATTTCTGAGAATCTGGACCAGCTTGAGTTTTTAGATTAGGCCATTGGCTCTATTGAATAACAAACACTGGGCATTTTCTTTGTGGTAGACACTGCTACGTGATTTGACATAAGTCATTTACTTAATCCTTTAGCAACTCTATAATTAGTGTTATACAACAATTAGTTGTTATACAACAATTAAGTGTTGTAACTGGGATTTAAATTTCGGTTTGCTCCCTTGGATGGCTTCCGGCATTTACCTGGATTTGTGGAAACGGGAGATCTAGAAATGGGAACCTCTAGCAGAATTGAGCAGTTGCCTCGGCCAGAAGTGGCTCCACATCATTCTCAGCTGCGCTAGCTTTGTCCCGGGAATCTTGTAGCGAAAAGGCCAAGCGATAGCTGCTGATGTGAAGGCTTAGTGCGGCTGTGCTAGAGCCTCCACGCCCGCTGTCTGAGAGCACGGTGCACAGTACCAATTCGGCACTGCAGTAAGGTTGGGCCGGGCGTGGGTGGACTGCGCTGAGACCCTCTTTCCGGAGGCGGTTCCCGCAAGGAGGCATCCTGACTCTGGCGAGTATTTAGAAGAGAATGCTGTTGGGCACGACTTAATGTAAGCTGAGTTGACAAAGTGAAGGGAAGCCCACCTGGTGCTCCTCGGACACCTGCTGCTGTGAGGTCGCTAACCGCAAAGGCACTGAATGGAGAAGGCGGGGCCCAATGCCCATTGAGGGGATTGGCTGCTGAGGATGTGGGGCGGAGTCATTCCCCAGCCAATGGGTGGTGCGTTCCCGCCGCGGGCGTTGTTCAGCCTGCTTCTGCCCGGGAGTCGGGTTCTTTCCTCTACGTCTGGGCTTCAGCGAGCCCTCTCTTACCTAGACAGCCTTGGAATGTCACCTGGTGCCCTCTCCTTCCGGCCCTCCCCGCGAGCCCTGGGAGGGCGTCACACCCGGTGCTGCTCAAATATGCGCCCAGATGCGGGCTCCTCGGGAGACGGAGGCAGGTTTCAACTACCCTGAGGCGTCCCAGCCTCGACGCCCCGTGCGTAACTCGCTTGGGGTTCTGCAGAAGTGGATTAAGGTGCACACGCCTCGTAGGCACAGCAACCTGCGGGTGGCCGACCGGTCCCCGAGTGAGCGCGTGGGGCTCCGGGTGGCAGCGCGTCGTCCCAGCTCCGCGGCCTCCGGTGAAGTGGAGAAAGTGGAGAGGGAGAGCCTCGGCCTCCGGCGAAGTGGAGAAAGTGGAGAGGGAGAGCCTCGGGGGAGGCGACGTGAGGTGTCCTGAGTCCTGTGGGAGATGCTCGCGCCCTTTCTTTGGATCTCGTCCAGGGACACTAACGTTCGCAAGCATTGGGAGAGCGAATGGGAGTAGCCAGAAGTTTGGGCACAGTTACAAATACAAATGGAGTGAAGGTCCTGGTCTCTTCTCCACCCGAGCACTCAGCGGTGCAGACTATGCCCGAGGGGATAGGGACCCTCGCTCTTCAGTGCTCTCGTTCACTGCTGCCCTCTTCGGGACTATCCTAGTAGAGTCGGTCTTTTCTGAGACTAACTCGACCGTAAATACTGACTGAGAGCTGCAGGGGCGTTAGAGTGTCGAGGGAGAGGAGATCTCGATACCTTTAAATTGGCGTTCTTGAAGTTTTCTAAGTGTGCGTGTGTAGGAGGGGATATTTGTCACTTTCTTGGGAGCCGGGAAGGACCTGGTGAAGAGTTAGTTCGAGTAAAATTGGAACGATACAGGGAAGATTAGCATGGCCCCTGCACAAGGATGGCACGCAGATTCGTGAAACGTTTCATATTAAAAAAAAAAAGAAGAAGAAGAAGAAGAGTTAGTTGGAGGCGCTCTGAAAAGAGGAAAGGGCAAACAAGGGTGAGACTCAGCCAAAAGGTAGGTGGAAGCAGAGTGTAGCGGTGGAATGTGTCCCCGGGAAGGCTGGGGATTCTGCTCGCCCAGCTCTCTCCTTGCGCCCTGGTGCCAGGTTCAGAGTCAGGATTTGGGAGACCTGGCTTTCAGAGCAGTACACCCTTATTTTCTTTCAGGGAGCCAGCAGGTAAATGCTACCTTGCCCACTGATTTAGGCTAACAATAACTGCGACAGCTCCAGGACTCTAGTTGTATGATTTAAAGAAAAAAATTATTGAATTTATTGGTTAATAAAATCTCCCCGGCAGGGGCGCTGCCTCTGCCCTTTTTAGTTCACCCTGCCTGGACCCCAGTGCATGATCCATTAGCCAATGACAGGTAAGATTCCTCAAGGGAGGGATGATCTAAGGCATGATCATGGGACCCCCAGGGAAGGACTTGGGGGTCTATAGCAAAAGAGGGTGATGTACCCTCGCCCCTTGGCTTTGACATAGTCTGAGTCCTCATTCTGTCTGTAAGAAGTCTCCTAATCTCTTGGCTTCCTTACTTTTCCTGCTTGACTTAAGCCTGAAACAATGACAGAGGACAGTGCAGCCCTGTGCTGGAAAGGGCGGGTTCCCTGGGGCGATCAGGCCTAAAAAAGAATGCATAAAAATCCTGTGAAAACTACTTTGCTAAGAATGTTCTCGATTTTCTTTTTTTTCTTTTTTGTAGTATGGGTGGGTTTATTCTGTGAAACTTGTAATTTTTTAAATATATTTTATTGATTATACTATTACAGTTGTCCCATTTTCCCCCTTCACTCCCCTCCACCCTGTACACCCTCTCCCACCCATATCCCCCCTTTAGTCATGTCCACGTGTCATACTTATAATTTCTTTAGCGTCTACATTTCCCATACTATTCTTACCCTCCCCCTATCTATTTTCAACCTTATTACAAGAATAAGTAACATTCTATGCTACTTATTCTCTGTACCTTTTCCCCCTCTCTCCTCCTCCCAGTCCTCTGTTGCTAAACCTCCATGTGATCTCCATTTCTGTGGTTCTGTTCCTGTTTTAGTTGTTTGCTTAGTTTCTTTTGTTTTTGCTTTAGGTGTGGTTGTTCATAATTGTGAGTTTGCTGTCCTTTTACTATACATGTTTTTTCTTTATCTTCTTTTCTTAGATAAATCCCTTTAGCATTTCATAAAATAAGGGCTTGGTGATGATGAACTCCTTTAACTTGACCTTATCTGAGAAGCACTTTATCTGCCCTTCCATTCTAAATGAGAGCCTTGCTGGATAGAGCAATCTGGGATGTAGGTCCTTGTCTTTCATGACTGGGAATACTTCTTTCCAGCCCCTTCTAGCCTATAAGGTCTCTTTTGAGAAATCAGCTGACAGTCTGATGGGAACTCCTTTGTAGGTTACTGTCCCATTATCTCTTGCTGCCTCTAGGATTCTCTCCTTCATTTTTACCTTGGCTAATGTAATTATGATGTGCCTTGGTGTGTTTCTTCTTGGGTCCAACTTCTTTGGGGCTCTTTGAGCTTCCTGGATTTCTTGGAATTCTATTTCCTCTGCCAGAGTGGGGAAGTTCTCCTTTATTATTTGTTCAAATACGTGCTCAATCTGTTGCTTTTCCTGTTCCCCTTCTGGTACCCCTATAATTCGGATGTTGGAACATTTCAAGATGTCCTGGAGGTTCCTAAGCTTCTCCTCGTTTTTTTTTATTCTTATTTCTTCATTCTTTCCTGCTTGATTGTTTTTTTCTTCCTTCTGGTCCACTCTATTGTTTTGAGTCCCAGTTTCCTTCCCTTCACTTTTGGCTCTCCGTGCATCTTCCTTCATCTCTTTTATGGTAACCTGCATTTTTTCATGTAATTTGGGCCCAAAATCAACCAATTCTGTGAGCTTCCTGATCACCAATGTTTTGAATTGTGCATCTGATAGATTGGCTATTTCTTGGTTGCTCAAAAGGATGAGTCCTGGGGGACTGATCTGTTCTTCTGTTGGACACAGGTCTCTCTCCTGCCCCCCCCCCGCCCCGTCTGCTTGCTCTTGTTACGGTGAGGGGCAGAGCCTTAGGTGTTCCCTTGGGCTGGGCACCCCAGTTGCTAGATTGTGACGTTGTATGTGGGGGCGGGGGCGAACAATGGCAGTAGCTCCATTCTCCTGGGATCTCAGTCCCTCTCTGGGATCCTGGGTCACTCTGCCCTGGTCCACAATGCCACCTCACTGGGTCCACCAGCCGCTGCTTGCGTACTCAGGGCCCACTGCTGTGTCCCAGAAGGCTTACGCGCTCCCGGTTGCCTTGTAAGCCCAGTTCTCCCCGATCTCCCCACGTGGAGACCTGAGCCCGCTCCTCCTCTCAGCCCCTCCTACTGGTCTGGATGAATGGGTCTATTTCAAGTTCTTGGCTGTCCCACTTCCATTCAGATAAATTCTCTATCAGTTCTGGGTGTTATTCTAGCTCTAAATTGTTGTTGTTCTAATCTTGGTTGTGCGTGGAGGTACAGTGTGTCCACCTATGCCTCCATCTTGCCGGAAGTCTCAGTTTTCTGATAAGGGTTTGAGCAGGAAATGAGTTTGTTTCCCAAAGTTTTGTAGCCCTTTAGCTAACAGACCCTGACTCAGAATAAGCCCTCATAATTCTTTGTATGTTACCTATTGTTTAATCCTTACTGCCTGACAATGATTAAAGAGTTTTACCTGTATTCCTGTGTAAATTGAACCCAATAAAAGCCCATTGAGAAAAAGGTCTTGGCCCTTCTACTTTAAGAGATCAGCCACCTTTCCTCCCCAGATCATGTCTTGGTAGACTTATTCTCATCTGTAGTGGCCAGGGGCGGGGAAGGGGTCCTGCGGGCAGAGCCCCCCCAACAAGAGAGTATTATGCTAAGTGGAATAATTGCATGATTTTTAAATGTGCCCAAGGTATTCTGCATGGGAAGTGCAGTATGTAGAGATACCAATGAGTGTCATACCATATTCATAGACTTAGATGGGGAGAGTGGAGAGGAGTTGTTTGAAATTTCATTTAATCAGTAAATGTTTGTGGAATGCCGGTCATATAAGGTCTGTCCAGAAAAAGTTCAGCCATTGTTAATAGAATGAGAATGGTTTGGGCAACATAGATGTAACCTGGAAGCCAAGGAGAGTGGACTGGAATGCATATGTGTAAACAATGACAATATCACTGTTGTGCGGGCATGTGTACTGTGTGGCCATCACATTCAAAATGACTGAACAAGTACAGCAATGGATCTGCATCAAATTTTGTGTTTAACTTGAACATTCCTCCACGGAAACTATTCAGATGATTCAGAAGGGTTTTGGGGACAATGCAATGAGTGCAGTGCAAATAAAAGTATGGCACAAATGCTGCAAAGATGGTTGAGAATCTGTTGAAAGTGATCCACATTCTGGAAAGACTGCAATAAGCAGAACCCCTGAGAATGTTGGCAGTGTATGGCTGCAATCAACAAAGATCAGCGACTGACAGTGTGAAAACTAGAAGCTGATCTGGGGATTCCCAAAAACAACTGTGTCTGAGATTTTGATGCAGGATCTTTGCAGAATATGTGGCAAAATTCACTTCCACAGTTTCTGCTACCAGAGCAGAAGGAACATCATGCCCCTAATGACTTGATTCGAACTGCTACCAATAAACCAGATTTCCTTGAGAAGGTCATAATAACTGGAGTTGAATCATGGGTCTATGGTTATGGTTTGGAAATGAAGGCCCAGTTGTCCCAATGGAAGTTGTCTGGTTCTCCACACCCAAAGAAGGTGCAGCAAAGTTGCAGCAAGATCAAGACCATGTTAACTGTGTTATTTTGATTGGGAAGGTGTTGTACATCAGGGATACGCCACTCTAGGCCAAACCTGGATGTGGATAAGGAGTACTACCTCAATGTTCTTCGTTGGTTGACAGATGCAATATGATCAAAATGGCTGCAGCTATGGCAACTGGTGACTGGCAGCTTCATCATAACAATGTGCTTACTCATGCATCACCTCTTGTGAAGAATTTTTTTGGTGAAACATCAAATCACTCAGGAGACTTAGCCCCGCTAAAGCCCAGATTTGGTGCCCTGTGACCTCCAGCTTTTGCCAAAATTAAAATCACCTTTGAAAGAGAAGAGATTTAAGAGCTTCGATGAGAGTCAGCAAAATACAACAGGGCAGCTGTTTACAACAAAAGGTTTTGCAGAGTGTTTTGAACAGTGGAAGAGACACTGGAAGAACTGTGTGAGGTCCCAATGTGCCTACTTTAAAGGGGACTAAGGCATCATTGTCCTATATACGATGTTTCTTATATCTTGTGCCTTCTTCAATGACTGTCTCTATTTTTCATATTACATGGTTGGATACTTCTGGACAGACTTGTATGACAGGAGTGTCATGCCTATATCCTAACAAATTCCCCAAGAGCAGCACTATTCTGGTTCCCACTGTATATCCTGCCACAGAGTAGATCCCAGGAAGTAATTCTGGGAGGAATGAAGAAAAATTTTCCTTATTTTTCTAGTCTGGTTAAAAAGGCAAGTATATAAATAAGTCATTAATACATTTTATTACTACACTAACACATCAGAATCATTAATGTATTCTGATAAGTGTTATCTGGAAGAATAGAGAGACTTCCTAATTTTGCTGAAACCTCCTTCAGCCAAATCTGAAAAGTACCCAGTTTAGAGGATGAACAAGAATTTGATGAGAGGTACAGAGATTCAAGTAGAAGGAATGGTTTCTCTTTTATAAATCTTTCTTTTTCAAGGAAGTAATGACTTGTATGCAAAGGGGTTGTGGCATAAACCAGATACAGGGCTTCATGTATTTCACCTTCTTATTTTGAAGTAGTTTACATAAATATAATCACCCAAGATAAACGTAACTTTAAGATTTTATTTATTTATTTTTAGAGAGAGGGAAAGGGAGGGAGAGAGGGAGAG